ACGTTGGGAGAATAGATGAGCCTCATCACACCGGAATTTCCTGATTCCTGAAAACACCAAGTGCTGCTCATCAATAAAAGGAGAAAGTGCTTTCAGGTCCCACGCACTGTAAATAATAGGATTTTATTAAAAATCCACCGCAGATGTAAATGCTACCTTGAAAATAGGCACTTGAAACAACTGCTGTCAATCTAGAAATATATAAGTAGGCGTTGCCTTGGTGGGTAAGAAGATTTCTATTTCCTTGAGATGTTATACATCCTGGCCGGTATACAGCCTTCCTCAAGCCATGATGTATCACAGCCTACTCACACACGAAAGGCTGTCACCAAGGTGTGGGTGCACTTTTGCTCAGAACATCAGCTGCCATTTGAATTAGGAAATGCTTTAAGTCACGTTGCCATTTTAAATTTATCTTGTTCAGGTTTTATCACTCTGACAAATGAGAAACAAAAGGCTTTTGTTTGCTAACCATTTTTTTTTTTAACTCTTCGGTGGGGGAGGTAACCCAATGCTGGTGGCTCACAGCTATAATCCTAGCTACTCAACAGTTCAAAGCCAGTCTGGGCAGAGAAGTCTGAGACTGATTTCCAATTTGTGACCTCCCTTCCCACCCCCCAAAAAAGAACAACTATGGCTCAACTGGTAGAGCATCAGTCTTTAGCGGAAAAAGCAAGAGCTTGGGGCCCTTGGTTCAAGCCGTAATACTGGTAATGTTAGAAAAATAAAATGGTAACCCCTCTGTACATCACCCTATTAACAAAAACAAGAGTGCTTCTGAGTTTTCATCATAATACCCTATCTACACTCTCACGGCGTTTATCACAAAATACCACTTATAACTTACCATTCTTAGATCTCACATTTAGGATCAGCTCAGAATACACTGACTTTCTCATTACAAACCAAAATGCTTAGATAGAAGGCCTTGAATCGTGGAGCCTAGGCAAGCCCTTTTCTATCTGATTTGGTACAAGACTTTTTTTTTTTTTTTTAAAGCAACCCTTGTCCAAACTCCTCAGTATATCTTGTTTTATTACACCTACTTCCACTAGATGGCACTAAAGATTGTGTTTTAGCAATCAGGCCTTGCTGGTGAAAAGAGCAAAAAAGATTTCTTTGAAATAAGCTATACATTTCTCTGGTTCTTTGTCCTGTCAGGACCAGTTTTGTAGAAAGGAAACCATGGGGCGCCGGTGGCTCATGTCTGTAATTCTAGCTACTCAAGTGGCTGAGATACGGAGGCCAGCCTGAGCAGAAAAGTTTGCTGGGCAAAAAGCCAGGCTGGAGAGGTATGGCTCAAGTGGTAGAACACCAGTCTAGCAAGTAAAAGGCCCTGAGTTCAATCCCTGGTACCACCACAAACAAAAGAGATGTCTCATTCATTTATTCACTCACTGCTTCAGATACCATGCCCTGAATTAGTGATGCAAATAAGACAGCATTACGAGCTCCCAGTGTGGGAGGGGAGGCTGTAGCAAGAACTGAACCAGATACAAAGACAGAAAGTTGAAACCTGGAATGCCAAAGACCTGACAGATGTCACTAGTGCTCCAGAGGGACACTTCAGACTTTGTGAACTGATGGACAGAGAAGCTGATGTCTGATCTCTGAAGAAATGAAGCTGGCTGGGCTGCAGGGGTAGGGCTGTGCTTCTTTAACATGTGTGGGGTTTTGTCCTGGGCCTCTCCCCTTCCCCCTGTGCCCATGCTGTCCCTATCAACCCAGCCCTGTAGCTGTCGCTGGGCTGAGCAGACAAGCCCCCACCCAAGCTCCCCGGGCTCCCCGCTTGCTGCTTTCTCCCCGCTCATCCGAGTGGACTGCCCTTTCCTTTCGAGTCTAGGCAGTGGAACCACCTTCTTCCTCAGGGACACCTCCACGTGGCCGGCCACACCTCCACGTGAGCCAGGGACACCCAATCCTGCTCTTTGCTCCGCTTCACATCCCTGCAGCAGTTTCCCACAGGCCAGGGCCCATGCAGTTTATGCTGTGTGTGGTTACTGGTGCGGTCCCCACTGGAGGACAGGCTCCAGGAGAGCTGGGACACTTACAATGTGGTGTGCCTGGCACACCGTATGTCCATGTTTCCGTGGAACACCACGGAACCTGCAGTGAAGACAGCTGAGGACTCATTTCAGGTTTAGACGGATCAATGACTGTACTGAAGAGTGAGCCAGGCAGCCTGGACTTCAGAAACAGCACCATGGGGTTAGAAAGAACAGATTCAAAACATGGACCCTGTGAGTCCATAGGAGCCCCAGCTCCCATGCAACAAGAAGACTGGCATGTTAACATTCCTCACTTCAAATACTGTCCCACAGCAGTATTTGAGAACAAGAGGAAGAGCATTAAAAAAACAATAAGTAAAAGAGCCAAGAACCCTGGGAAGAAACAGTGCTGCAGAGAAGAGGGAAGGACAGAAGACGAGAGGTGGAAGGAAATCAGGAAGCCAACCAAGGGAAAGAGCCAGCTTCAAGAAGGAGCTTGAGCTGGGCACAGGTGGCTCACACTTGTCATCCTAGCTACTCAGGAGGCTGAGATCTAAGGCTTGCGGTTCAAAGTCAGCCCAGCAGTGAACCCCAAAGAACCACCAGAAACCTGGAAATGGCGCAGTGGCCCAAGTGGTAGAGCACTCACCTTGAGCACAAAGAGGCTCAGGGACAGTGCCCAGGCCCTGAGTTCAAGTCCCAGAAACAACAAAGAAAAAAAAAAAGGGGGGAACTTGTGTCAAAAGCGATCATAGATTCACTTACACAAGAAGGAATAGGGATGTGGCTGAGGTGGTAGAGCCATGAATTCAAACACCAGTGCTGCACAAATGGAACCAAACCAAGCCAAAGCCAAAGGAATGAACAAAACTGAGCAGGAGCACCCTCCCTACCCAGCTTTCTCGCCATCAATGTTGGATCAAACTCGGTTTCAGAGGAGTAGAGACAGCACGAGTCAGGAAGAATCCCCAGGGTGAACATGGAGGAAACCGAGAGCAGACGAGCCCAGAATCTTGGCGACTAGGAGACTGCCTGAGCTAACACACGTGTACTTATCACGCATTTCCTAACCGGAGAAGGTGGACTTGCGGCCATGGGTGGTGAGATCCTGCAGGAAGGAGAGCCGGAGGGAGGGCTGGCCTGGGATTGGGGCTGGGAGCAGAGGCCAGCCAACCGGCCGCCTCAGAGTCCCCCCAGCCCAGCAGAAGGCCAATCTGCCTGGTCAGAGTGTGTGTGGACAGCGGAGCACTTAGGAAAGCACCCCTGTGTGGATGGAGGAGCACCTAAGAAAGCACCCCTGTGTGTGGACGGGAGGAACACCTAGGAAAGCACCCCTGTGTGGATAGAGTAGCACTTAGGAAAGCATCCCTGTGTGTAGATGGAGGAGCACCTAGCAAAGCACTCTGTATGTGGATGGGAGGAGCACCTAGGAAAGCACCTGTGTGTGGCTAGGAGGAACACCTAGGAAAGCACCCCTGTGTAGATGGAGAAGCAATTAGGAAAGCACCCCTGTGTGTGGATGGAGCACCTAAGAAAGCACTCTGTGGATGGAGGAGCACCTAGGAAAGCACCCCTGTGTGGATGGAGGAGCACCTAGGAAAGCACCTCTCTGTGTGTACGGGCAGAGCACCTAGGAAAGCACTCTGTGTGGATGGGAGGAGCACTTAGGAAAGGACCTCTGTGTGTGGATGGAGGCGCACCTCGGAAAGCACCTGTGTGTGGACGGAGGAGCACCTAGGAAAGCACCTCGCAGCATGCCGCTTAGAGCCAGGTGTCAGCCCCCCCCCCCCCCAGGCGGAAGGCCTAACCAGAACTGACACCCTGCCAACCTAGAGAGGCCCAGAGCCCACCCCGCTGGGTGAGCAGTGCTCTGCTCCTGAGCGCCGGGCCCCGTGCCCGCGCGCGCATGCGCCAGCCCGCCAGGCCCCGCACCCCCGCCGGGCTCCCTGCAGCCGGCGCTCGCCCGCTGCGGTCACGGCTTCGCCTTCGGCTTTTTGGTGGCTAGCTGGAGCCGAGGCTCACGGACTTTCCTGCCCAGGCTGGTTTCGAGCCGCGATCCTCGGCTCTCAGCCCCCCGGGCGGTGAGGACGGCAGCCACCGCCCGGGCGCCCAGGGCCCGGTCGCGGCCGGGCCGTCCCCCGCGGCGCCATTGTGACCGGCCGCGGTCCGTCTCCCGGGCGCAGCCCGCGGGGTCCCGTGACGCGCGGCGAACCCCGAGCCCTCACACCCGCCGTGCCTCGCCCTCTCCGCCCCCCCCAGGGGGGCCTCCGATTCCACACCTCGGCCCACCGGCCTCCGAAACTCCCCAGACGCCCGCGGGCCGCGGGAGCCCCGTGACCGCCGGCCAGGCCCCCGGCTCCGAGCGCGGCGGCGGCGACGGCGGCGGCGGCCTCGCCGCCTACAACTCCCAGCATGCTCCGGGCCACGCCTCGGGACTGACGGCTCCATTCGCCAATAGGAGGGCCCAGCCAGAGTCCGTGGGGCTAACTGGAGGGCGCGAAGGTGGCCGTCCCGGCGGCACCTCAGCGCGGCCTTTCCTGTAGGAGAGAAAGAGTCAGTCTTCGTAAAATGGTGACGCTGATTACACTAAGTCGCTCAGTCCAAGCCTTACTTTTTTCGCCCCTAGGTTTCGCCTTTGGCCTTTAGCTTGGTCCCCACTGCGCGGGAGGGGGACTGGCGAGGAGGTGGAACTTCTCCAAATCTTACTGGGTGGTGGTGGTGTCCCGGAGAGGGCGGGAAGGGCCGCCCCTGGACGGCGATTGGTCGGCCCGGAGCCAGCCTGGGCTGTGATTGGCGCGAGCAGTCGGGCCTGGGCAGCCACGCCGGGAGGCCGTGCGCCCCCCCCCCTCCGCCCGCCTACCGCGGGAGAGTGCGGCGCTTGTCGCGTGTGCGGGGCGGGGCCGGCTGCGGGCCGGAGCGGGCGGAGGCGGGGCAGCCTCAGCTCGAGGCCCGGCAGCCGAGCCGGGAAGGACGGGGACGCGCCTGGTTATGGGCTGCGCAGGCGAGGGCGGGGCGCGACGTCGGATCCCCGGTAGATCTGCGGGCGGGTCCTCGGGGCCGCCCTCCCCCGCTTCGCGCGCGCCGCCCCGCTGCGCCCCGGGAGAAGAGCCCCCATGGTCCCCGCTCTCCGGGGCGCTCTCCGGGCCGGGCCGGACCCCCGCGAGCCCGCCCTGGCGCCCCTGTCCCCGCCCCCCCGGGGGCCCACGCCGGTGGACGCGGCCAAGACGCACTGCCCGTCGTGCCTGGGGCTGTTCCGGGCGCCGCGGCTGCTGCCGTGCCTGCACACGGTGTGCACCGCGTGTCTGGAGAAGCTGGAGCCCTTCTCGGTCGGGGACGCGGACGCCGGCTCCGACGGCCTGGCGCCGCTGCCGCTCGGGCCGCGCGTCGGCATCCTCTGCCCGGTGTGCGAGGCGCAGGTGGACCTGCCGGCCGGCGGCGTGCAGGCCCTCACCATCGACCACCTGGCCCTGAGCGACGTCCTGCTGGAGAGCCGCGGCGGGGACGGCCCGGGCCCGGCGGCCTGCGACCTGTGCGGCGCCGCGGGCGCGGACAAGCGGTGCCAGACCTGCGGGGTCAGCCTCTGCCCCTTCTGCTGCCAGGCCCACCGGTAACCACGGGGCCCCGCCCTCCGGGTCCGAGCGGGGAGGGGGGCCGGAGGAGAGGGAGAACAGGGGGAGGGAACGGCTCACGCACCTGTCATCTCATCCCCGCCTCCCGGAGGCCCAGATCTGAAGATCGTGATCCAAACCCCGGGCAGGGAAAGCTGCGGAGGTCTCACCTCCTCCCATCGGCCACCAAAAAGCCAGAAACAGAGCTGTGGCTCACGTGGTAGAGCCTTGAGCGAAAAGCTCAGGGTCAGGGCCCAGTCCCCGGATTCAAAGCCCAGGACCAACCACCAGCACAAAGAAAGAAAAGGGAGGAAGGGAGGAAGGGAAAAGATCTTTCTCAGATACCAACAAGAGTTAAAGAACAGGACTGGGAAGGTGGCTCATTGGTAGAGTGCTCATCACTCATGCATGAGGCCCTGGGTTCGATTCCTCAGCACCACATAAGCAGAAAAAAAGCTGGAAGTGGCGCTGTGGCTCAAGTGATAGAGCACTAGCCTTGAGCTGAAGAGCTGAGGGACAGCGCCCAGGCCCAGAGTTCAAGCCCCACAACCAACAACAACAAAAAAGAGCTAAAGAACAATATTCAAGGAATTTCCCTGAATAACAACTTGATAGAATAGTAATAATAGCAGTAAAGATTTGCATAGTCTATTCATGTGCTGGTATGGGGGTTTGAACTTGGGGCCTGGGTGCTGTTTCTTAGCTTTTTCACTCAAGGTTAGTATTCTATCTATGTCCAGCTTTTTGCTGGTAAATTGGAGTTAAGAGTCAGCCCAGGCTGGCTCTGAACCGTGATCCTCAGATCTCAGCCTCCTGAGTAGCTACAGTTACAGGTACAAGCCACCTGTACCCAGCCTTCACGTGGTTTTTTCAACTTGCAGCTTCCTTCCATCACTTGGTTGGTAAATAATTGTAGTGGGTAGTGGAGAAACAGGAAGATGAATCATCACAGAGACCCTGCCCCTGGCCTTGTTTGATCCTGCTTGCAACCCTTACAGGAAGGCACCCACTCTCTTTGTCTTGGGGAGACTGAGGCTCAGAAATTTGAGATCTGCCAAGGAGCCACAGCTGGTGAGCAGTGAATCAGTCTAGATGTTCTACTCTGATCTGTGCTCTTTGCGGTTACACATGGTGCTGTCTCGGTGTAGGTGCCAGCTTGATTGGCGGAGGCTCTGCCTTGGCTGTGTGCCTTACAGCTGGTGAATGGAGGGACTGCAGATACTAATTGGAGTGTAGATGTTGACAGTTTTTGGTCAGATGGATCACTCTTGTCCCTTCTTCCCACCGCTCTCTAGAACTTCAGTATATAAAATCACCAAGGTTTTAGGATTAATCCAGAATAGTTTTTCCGTTCTGGCTGGCATTTGTCATCTGGCCTCACCAACAGGCCAAGCCTCTCGTTTTCATTCTATTTTTAACTTGTGTGATGGTTGCTAAGACTGTGTTACTGCCAAACAGCTGTTTTCTCAGGAGCCTCTCTTCTGGTGCCAGGAGAGGTCCTAAGGTTGAGCTGACAGATTGGCATCAGGAAACTCTAGATAGCCCTGGTGGCTTCGTGGGGATTTCCTTGAGTCTTTACAAGAAAAAAATGACAGCGGAGCTCTGCTTGGGCATTGATTTCATGTTCAAGTTATGCTGACCACACTTGGAAAGTCCGGCTGCTGATGTAGTGGTGTAGGTGCTGGTAAAGGGACTGCTTTAATAAAATCTTAGGGAAGAGGCGGGGGAGACTCTTCCCAGGCAGGCTACCTGTTTCAGTTGGTGTTCGGTCAACTGTGGTTTGTATTGCTTGGTTTGTTTGCATCAGGCTCTCAGCTAGGTTTGGGATGCGGGCTGTGCTATGACACTCCCCCCCCCCCCCCTCCCTGTTGGGTCTTCCTCCGTCCCACAAAAGACAGACGGAGTCCGAGGAAAGGTAAGTGCGCAGTCCGAGGAAAGGTAAGTGCGGCGCTCGCCCGCCCGTTCCCTAGCCTCCCTCAGCCCAGGAGACAATCAGACACAGCAGGGAGCCAAATCCAGCAGGTAGAAAAACTCGTTTATTAACAGAGAGCAGCCCCTTTTAAAGACAACAAGGGTGGGTGGTATGGTAAGGGAGGAAGAGGAACCAATCACTGTCAAGGTCACACCCTATCATTCACCTGAGCCTTCACGGGCTGGTTAGGCACTGATCAGAAGATCAATTGGGGTCTGCCCACTCAACCCCCTCCCAGCGCCATCTTTGCTGCCCATGTGCTCCACACCTCCCCATCTAAACGTGCCCAAATAACTCTTGGGGACAGTTTCAGGGTGTGTGTGTATACACACACGTGTGTTTGCTGGTCCTGGGCCTTGAACTCAGGGCCCCATCCTCTTGCTTGGCTTTCTTTATTCCACTTGAACCACGGCTCTACTTCTGCATTTTTGCTGGTTAACTGCAGATAAGAGTTTGCGGGCTTTACTCCCTGCCTCGGCTGGCCTCGAACCTCAATCCTCAAATCACAGCCTCCAGCCACCACCCTGGCAAGCTTTACAACCCGAGCCGAACCCCGGTCCACCTCGAACCTTGGCCCACCTCCGAACCCCAGCCCACCTCTGAACCCCGGCCCACCTCCGGACCCCGGCCCACCTCCAAAACCTGGCCCACCTCTGAATCCCGGTCCACCTCGAACCCCGGCCCACCTTCGGACCAGGCCCGCCTCCTTAGGGCAGGGGTTGTCCCAGGGGCCCGGGAGGCCCGCAGCCGAGGCTCAGGCCCCCTGACGTCCTGCTCGGGTTGCTTCGCAGGCGGCAGAAGCGGACCGCTGACCACACCGTGGTGGACCTGGACGCGCGCGCGGGGAAGCCCGAGCCCTGCCCCACACATCCGGCCGAGGAGCTGCGGCTGTTCTGCGAGCTGTGCGAGCGGCCAGTGTGCGGCACGTGCGCCAACGGGGAGCACCTGGGCCACCCGTGCGAGGACGCGGGCCGCGCGGCACAGCGCCACGGGGAGGTGCTGCGCGCGCTGCTGCGGGGCGCGCGCCCGCGCCTGCGCGCCCTAGACGAGGCGCTGGCGCGCGTGCGCGGCCGGGACGCGGCACTGCGCGAGCGCGTGCGCGCCGTGGCCGCCGACGTGCGCGCCTCCGCCGAGGGCCACATCGCTGCGGTCGAGGAGCACCGGGATCAGCTGCTGCGGCAGCTGGCGGCCCTGAGCACCCGCCGCGAGCGCGCGCTGCGCATGCAGGGCGCGCAGCTGGAGCGGTTGCGCGCGGACGTGCGCGCCGGCGTGGACTTCGCCGAGCACCTTCTGGCGCGCGGCTCAGACCTGGCCGTGCTGGTCTCCCAGGGCGTGGTGGTGGCGCGGCTGCGCGCGCTGAGCCAGGCCGGCCGCGGCACGCGCTCCGCCGGGCACCCCCACATCCGCTTCTGCCCCCAGGAGGCGGCCGGCCAGTGCCGCGGCTTCCCGGTCTATGGTGCCCTGGACGCCCAGGAGGTCGACCCGGCCCGGTGCACCCTTCAGGGAGAAGGTACGGGGCGCGGGCGGCCCGCGGAGGACGCCCCGAGGCGCACACCTGCAACCCCAGCCTGCCCGGTCTCCAAACGCCGTGCTGGGGCCAGAAGGGGTTCAGTGCTAAGTGCTCACCTGGCACGCATGAAGCCCCGGGTTCGAGTCCTCAGTGCCACACACAAAAAGCTGGAAAGTGGAGTTGTGGCTCAAGTGGCAGAGCGCCAGCCTTGAGCTGAGGGGCAGCGCCCAGGTCCTCGGTTCAAGCCCCAGGACTGGCACAAACCAAACACAAACCCACTGAGGCCTGTGGGGCTCCTCACGGCCTCCCCGCCCGCCCGCCCGGTCCGTGCAGTTGGTGTCCAGTACAAGCCTGCCAACCACCACCAACCACACAGCCCTGCTAGGGGCCAGGCCGGTGCTGCTGACCCCTCCTGCTCCCGGAACAAGGCGCACCCGGCTCTGGGCTCCTCTAATCCGTGCCTGGCCCCTTCACAGGAGCCTTCTCGCCCTGTCTCTGTTTTTATTTTTGTGTGTGTACAGGTCCTGGGGTCTGCACTCGGGGCTTGGCCACTGTCCTTAGCTTTTTCCAGCGAAGTGGGTGCTCTACCCTCTGAGCCACACCTCTACTTCCGGCTTTTTGCTGGTTGGTTGGAGATAAGAGTCTCACAGCTTTTCCTGCCTCAAACCTCTGTCCTCAGATCCCAGCCTCCCCAGTAGCTAGGATTGCATGTGGGCAGGAGCCACCTGCTCCTGGTTTATTGCAGGGGAAGAAATGGCTATTGGTAAATAAAGGAAGAAATTCCTCGTCTCCAGACAGGGCCATCCCTGGGTCATAGTGCCAGCATGTAAGTCCCTGCACCAGGGTGAGGGCCTCCAAGTCCGGAGGGTCACATAGCACAGGCCCCAGCCGGTCCGCCACACCCTTGCCCCGGCTCTGATCATCGAGGTCAATGCTGCATATTTCCTGAGATTCTCTAGGGTGAAAGTTAAGGTCCAGACCCCTGTGATCGCAGAGTGACCAGGTTGGCCCCAGAGCTCTGCACAGGCTGACACAGGGAGGGGAGAGAACAGGAAGGGCGTTGATGGCTGCAATAAGCAGCCTCTGGTTTGAAGTGGGAAGGCAAGAGGGAGTGCATGTTGGGGATACTGTTTTGGCGGCTCGCCCTAGCTGTGGTGCTGCTGGGTTTGTCACCCGCAGATCTACACAGAGCTCGGGAGAAACAGACGGCCTCTTTCACCCTGCTCTGCAAGGATGCGGCAGGAGAGAGCCTGAGCAGAGGAGGGGACCACATCAGTGTTGCCGTTGTTCCTAAAGACAAGAAAGACAGGTGTGTAGGACACACAGGGCTGGGGCATAGAGAACTCAAGGGTCTGAGTTCTTGAGCACAACTCAGTGGTTGTCTTCTTGGAGTTCATTTTCTCTCTCCAAGAGGTGATGAAAAAATGTGATTTCTCATGGTTGAATCAAATGATCAGATGCAAGTTTGTTTTTGTGCCAGTACTGGGGCTTCAACTCAGGGCTTCAAGCTCTTGTTTAGCTTTTTCACTCAAGGCTGGCTCTCTACCACTTGAACCACATCTCCACTTCCATTTATTTGCTGGTTTATTTGACATGAGATTATGTCCATAAGATATTTGTTTTTCCAGGCTACCTTTGAACCTCAATCCTCAGATCTCAGCCTCTTGAATAGCTTGGATCGCAGGCACATATCACTGGTGCCTACATCCAAATGTGTTGTATGTGTTTCAGTCCTTTATGCAATTCTCTTTCAAAGATGTACCTGGCCTAATTGATTAAATTCATTCCAGGATTTGGCATGGACTGAAAAATCTTCCATGTTAAATGGATTGGTACCTTTCCTCAGTTTTGCCAGGAGCAGGTTTATAGTTCTGTTTCTTTGGAGTTGATGTGTTGACGGGAACATGAGTTCAACAGGGGACTGAGGAGTAATCTCATACACAGGTGGCTGAAACCGGAGCCAGCCCAGGCAGAGAAGTCTGTGAGACTCTTATTTCCCATTAACCACCAAAAAGCTGGAAGTGTAGGTGTGGCTCAAGTGGTAGAGCACCAGCCTCAATCAAAAAGCGAGTGCTGGCATGCACACACACATACACACGAACACACAGAATATTGAGCAGAATAGACTTTTCAGTCTAGAATAGGCAGCTGAGAGAGGATTTTTTTTTCACCTTTTTTTCCGTTCAGTCCAGTCAGAACAGTGGTCCAGGATAACAAGGATGGGACATACAACGTGTCCTACACCCCCAAGGAACCTGGCATCTACACCGTGTGGGTTTGCGTGGAAGAACAGCACGTGCAGGTCAGTGTGGCCCAGGGCCCGCACCGAGGGCCTCCACCATCTTCTGATCAGCTCCACGGAGAGTGGAGAGAGTTCTCTTCTTTCTTCACTGTAGAAATTGCCCAAATTTTGCTTTTCTCTCTCTCTTGTGCTGGTCCTAGGCCTTGAACTTAAGGGTCTCACACTCTCACTGAGCTTTTTCAGCTCAAAGCTGGCACTCTATCACTTGAGCCACAGCTCCACTTCCAGCTTTTTGCTGGTTAATTAGAGATAGGAGTCCCATGGAGTTTTCTGCCCAGGCTAGCTCTGAACCTTGATCTCAGATCTCAGCCTCCTGAGTAGCTAGGGGTTACAGATGTGAGCTACTAGCACCCAGCGATCTTGCTATTCTGTCCTGTGTTCAACTCTTAGTGACTTGATGGAACTCTTAATTTGGAGAAGATGACTGGGCCCTTAGGGCTGTCCACCTGCAGACAAGCACACCTGGGGAACACAGTGTTGCTGAGAAGTCCCAGCCTCGTTCGGATTGAGACTGGGGCATAATTGGCAGAGTGAGGCCCCTTCCTCTCCATGGATGGCCATTTATCTGCCTGTATTTCTCCATTTCACTTGTATGCATCTATATTATCATGGTTACGGCACTGTCTCCACACCTCCTGAAATAAAAAATAGAATTTAACATCAGGAAGGCTTTCTCTGACTGCATGGTTCTCAAGCAGGGAGAGGCAAATTGCACTTAGTAAATCTTTTTGGCAGTTGGGAGAATTGCTGATTGGAGAATCACTAGCTGCAGACGCTTCACCTTTCTCCCTTGTGTCTTCCCAGGGAGGACAGGGGAGTGGGTAAAGGTGCGCTGTCCAGGGTGGAGGCTGAGAGGCAGGAAGCTTGTCCTGTCAGTGGTGCGGAGGCATGAGGCTGATGGCTGGATGAAGGACTGCAGGCCACCTACCCTGGTGGGTGTAGCCTGAGATTCCTCAGGAATTGCTTAAGTGAATCTCAGGCACTTGAGAGCATGGGTGAAGAGCTGGAGTGGGTGCAGTGTAGACTTCTACCCCACACAAGGCTGACGGTGGGAGGCTTCTGCTCTGTCTAAACGGCTTAGCTTGGCTCAGCTGTTGGTTCACAATGCTGTCCTGTGCTTTTGCTGTCCACCCGGCAGGGCTCGCCCTTCACTGTGACAGTGAAGAAGAGGCACCACGCACACTCGGGCATCTTTCACTGCTGTACCTTCTGCTCCAGTGGTGGCCAGAAAGCCGTGCGCTGTGCCTGTGGGGGCACCATGCCAGGTAAGGGGCACAGCTGCCCAGCAAGGCAGTGTCGTGTCGGGTAGCCACACAGCCACTCGGAGCGTGCTTAGGGACCATTTTGTGTATGTGTGTGTATGTGTGTGTGTGTGTGTGTGTGTGTGTGTGTGTGTATGGAAAAACAGGGAAATGTGGAGCCTGCACCAGCCTCTTTGTTCAGCATGGAGGTGAAAGGCTTCCAAATTGTGAGTTCTTAGGTTTTGACAGTTCACCAGCGGTAAACTGCACATCTCCCTGGGGATTCTGGCTCAGTCTATATGGTCAGTGCAGTTAAAGAAATTCCAAATGAGTCAGGCTACAGGTGCACACCTGTAACCCCAGCTACTCAGGAGGCTGAAATCTGAGGATCACAGTTCAAAGCCAAACCTGGCAGGAAAAGTTTGAGACTCTTATCTCCATGTAACCACTGAAAGGCGAAAGGTGGAGCTGTGGCTCAAGTAGTAAAGCACCATCTTTGAGTATAAAGCTAAGAGATAACACCTAGGCCCTCAGTTCATGCCCCACGACCAGCACATACCAAAGAAAGAGCAGTTCCCAGTGTGGCAGAGTCAGGAGTGGACGGCAGAACCAGGCACAGGACCAGGCACCTTGAGGTTGGCTGTGGTTTTTCCTGAGCCTTGTGGCTCATTAGGCTTTTTCCAACCCTGGCTGGGTTGGAGGAGGGCGCCAGTGCCAGGACAGCCCTTGTGCTCCGTTCCCAGCGTTGTTTTACCTTCCTATCCTCTTTGTGCCGTGCAGGTGGGTACCTGGGCTGCGGTCACGGACACAAGGGCCATCCGGGCCGTCCCCACTGGTCCTGCTGCGGGAAGTTTGCAGAGAAGTCGGAGTGCACATACGTGGTGGGGCCGGGCACCCCGGGGAACCTGCTGAGGACCGTCGCACTCTGATGATGCCAGTGCCTCCCCCACACCCATAAATCTTCCACCAGTGGATGCCAGGTTTACAGAGGATCCCAAAGCCTGAGAAATACCAAAGAAATGATGGAATTAATTAAAACAGTGCCTTCAAGTGCCTTCTCCAAGTCTCCCTTATACTTGCACTGTGGAGCCAGTCTGTTTCTCTTATAGGTAGATTGGTGATGATCGTACTTTACCACGGAGCGCCTTTCTGTGTGGCACACAGATGACAGTACTTATGCCAGTGGAATCTGGAGGTCACAGGAGACGATCAGTTTCTTCCTTTCCAGTGCATTACCACCTGTACGTTCTGCTCTGTATTTTCACAGTCATTACTCGGCAGCAGTTTGACGTGCCAGCTTCTAGATCTTTCCCGCGCAGGATGGTTCTGGGCACACAGGACTTCACATGAAGATCTGACTGATACAATTTTTAGTTCGGCCCTACTTAAGTGTCTGTTTTCCTAGAACTCCCTCCTTCTACAGACCAGCATATCTCACTTAACCAAAGTCCATTGGGAAAAACTCTGCCTCCTCTCAGACTTGGGTAAATTACACCCACCTGAGGGGCGAGTTTGGAGTTTTCCATTTACCTCACCCTTCTGGGGATTTTATTTATTTTTGCTACAAAGAAGCATGTTGGATTTCATCACCCATTCCCATGGGTCTTTGTGAGTCAGATGGCAGAATGGTGGATAAAAAGTTTACCATTTATTTCAGTTGGAAAAAGTTCCAGTTAATTGGTCAATTTACCAGAGATGAAATTATATTGTAATAGAAAATTCCTCCACTCATAGCTGTTGCTCTGACACTTAAGCCACACCTTCAGTAACAGCCTTTTGTGGGTTAATTGTAAACAAATCTCTTGCTTGAGCTGACTTTGAACTTCAATCCTCAGTCTCCAGAGTAGCTAGGATTACTACAGATGTGAGCCACGACAGACAATTTCCGTGAGAAATCTGTGATGGGTGTGATGGGGTAAGGCTTGGCTCTCAAGCATTCTAATGGAAACAGTTCTGTTACAAACACTTGACGTTGGTGGCGGGGGCAGTGGTGGGGGCTCTTGGCCTGGCCTAGCAATGGACTCTTCACCCAGCTTAACCCAGCTGTTCCACCAGCAGAAAGGCCTGGAGAGGGCATGGTGTGCAGGGCCCAGGACTACAGGGAAGGATTTAGGAACCATCACAGCATGAGGAAGTGATTCAGAAATCATCTCTGGGCTGGACGCTGTGGCACCAACGTGGTACAGTACGGAGATGAAGCTCTGCTGCGTCACAGGTAAGGAAGCAAATCTCAGTCTAAATCTGATCTAATAATCCCCTGGGATGGTGCAACAGGATAAACACCTGGACTGCTACGGGAACTAAACATCTATCTACTCTCATCTCTTAAATGCACTCATCACTGAGTTTTACTCCAGAGACGGATCCCTGGGTGTTAGTTTGGCTCAAAGAGATGGTATGCATCCTTTGATTATTTCTTAAATTTAAAACATTTTTAAATAAAATGAACTTGGATTAGACAGCACTATGCCATTAACACTAATTCAGAATGAGACCTCCCAGTCTGGGGACTAGAACCTAAGAATGCGTGTCACATGTACTGTCAGGGCCTGGTTGGGCAGTTCCAACTTTTCCTACGTCCACAACACATCAAGAGCATCTCTACTGTGGACACTGGCTAAGGAATAATTAGGTGGCTTTGACAGGACAGTCTGAATACATCCAGAGAAACGCTTATCTTACAGATTAATCAGATTATAAATTGTAATGCCCACTCCCTTTTCCACACAAGACAGGAAATCTGATCCCCCCCAGGACCTCTCTGTGACCTCTAAGCACCTTCTTGAGTGGCATTACTGATCACCAGGTCAAACAAGTGATTGCAAACAAGTACACACCAGTAAACCCCCAGTGGGGTACAGACAGGTGCTAACCCCACACCTCGGAAGAGCTGAGGCCCCAGGGGTAACAGCCAGTCCTGCGGCAGGTGCTGGGCTGCTAAGTCCTCACTGTCCTGAGCCATTCCTTCTCAAATGATATGGCTTTTATAACTTCATAAAGGTAATTTTACCACCTTTATCTCTGGTTTTCAGGGCCTTATTGTAGCAGCTAAGTTCTAAAAGCAATGCTTCCCTTACAAACCAGGATAGCCAAAGGGGATTTTTTTGGTAAAAAAATCACCCAGACTTGGGGCTGGTTGAGGTTCCAGAACAAAAGGCTCCTCACTGCTGCGTGGTCCTCACCCTTACCCAGCCCACGAGGTACGCTTCTTTCTAGGGAGAACTATGTTTTATTTTGTTTTCCTAGCAGAAATGAACGAGGCTTGGGGAATCATTACTGAGGGAAGAGGAAGTTTGAAGTTTTCTAAAGAATCAAGGGTTCCAGCGTTCATGTTAGTCAGGAATCTGCCATAGAAGCGACCCCAGAAGTCTGTGGCTCAACAATAATTTCTTGGTCACAGCATAGCCCAGTGCCTGCGAATGGAGTATAGAAGGAGGTGCACAGGGCTCTGTCTCACTCAGGGATTAAGTCTGACCTCAGGGTGAGGGCCCAAAGCACGTTAGGAACCCCCAACCTAGTGGGCTCACCATTCTTAGGTCTCCCCTCAGTAAAGCACAGGGGAAGAAAGTTTGAAGATGGCAACCTAGAAATGCCTTCCCACTTTTGTCCATGTTCCCTGGACAAGGCAGTGCCCTGTGCCCTGTCCAGCTGTCGGGAAGACTGGAAGTGGAGTCTCTGGGCAGTCAGAAGCAAGAGAAACAGAAATGGGGTTTGGTGAGCATTTAGTGTTATGTTTGCTATGGTCAGATACATTTATTACATTGTGCCAATGATAATAATACAACTGCTGATGATATGAACACTAAATAACAATAGTCCTAAATGCTAAAATAATCAAAATTTCCATAAGCAAGCCGGGTGCCGGTGGCTCACACCTGTCAGCTACTCAGGAGGCTGAGATTTGAGGATCGCAGTTCAAAGTCAGCCCAGGCAGGAAAGTCTGTGAGACTCTAATCTCCAGTTAACTACCAGAAAACCAGAGGTGGCACTGTGGCTCAAGTGGTAGAGCACTCGCCTTGAGCTGAAGAGCTGAGGGACAGAGCCCAGGCCCAGAGTTCAAGCTGCTTGACCGACAAAAAAAAAATTACAGAATCATTACATATACAAAGAAAACATGATATGCTCAGAACACTGCAGGCGAATATAAGTAATAAAATGGAATAACACAATCACCCTGATACCAAGCGATCCATGAAATGAAATGATGAAATAGCTGGGGACTACCCACACTAATCAGTGGCGCACAGTACCAGGGTGTGCTCAGCAGCTCCTTAACCCGAGGTTGAGAAGCAGTGCCAGGTGGAGGGGTGATGGGGCAGCAGGGAGGGGTCTGCTCTGCTTAGTCTAGATACGCCAATGGGGCAAGCCTCAGTGAGATGGGATTTACCCAGGTTCCACAGGGTGGTAATGCTTCCTCTGCCTCTCAGGTGCTACGACTACAGGCGTGCACCACCACATCCAGCAACACGGGGCCTTTTAAGCTTTACTGAAATAAGTACATTTCCAACAGAGTTGCCTTCCAAAACCAAGTAACTCCAAAGCTTTGTGTGCTGGTCATGGGCTTGGACTTGGATTGGTGCTGTCCCTTACCTTTTTTGATCACGGTGGACACTGTACCATATGAGCAACACCTCCACTTCCAGCTAACTGGAAATAAGAGTCTCACAGATTTTTCTGCTGGAGCTGGCTTCAAAGCATTTTTTAAACCTGAAATCATCGGAGTCTCGGACACTCATTAAAGAAGCTGACTAACTGAAACATGGGGGCACACTGCGCCCATCCTCATCTCTGGGAACAGGGTTCTCTGCCACTCCCAGATCCCAACACAAAGCAGCAGTGGTCCTATTCTACAGATAGGTTAGATGCCAAAAAGGACTTTGAGGTCGGCCAGGGTGAGCTTGGTGAAAGACTCTGCGGACCCAGAGAGAACCTGCTTGGCCAAATCTTTCTTCTTTTCTTGGAGCGCCAAGATCTTTTCTTCCACTGTTCCAGCACAAACAAATCTAAACACAAGCAAGCGATCAGAACATGCACAGCAGCCCACTTCATAACATACCCAAACCACCACCATGCTGCTGGGCTGCTGTGTTTGTGTCTCTAAACTTGGTTACCAACAGGAACAGGGAAATCCACGTAAAGTGATGTGGCTCAGGCTCAATTTTTACTTCATCCTAAAGCAAGGGTGTCTGAGAGAGCCTCAATTAAGCAAAGGATGTCCTATCCCAAAGTAGTTCGGAGCCAGGGACCAGTAGCTCACGCTGGTTACCCTAGCTCCTGAGGAGGATGAGACCTGGGAACTGTAATTTGAAGCCAGTTACAGAAGTCCAGGAAACTTATCTCTAGTGGAAATGGAGCTGTGGTGGAGTGCCAGCCTTGTGTAAAAAAACCTAAGGGACAGCACCCAGGCCCTGAGTTGGTGCCTATTACTGGTATAAAACAAATCAGAAATCACAAAAGGTTTTCACAAGAGCAGACTCTGGGAGGGCCCGTGGCCTGGTTACCTGTGGATGACAACATCCTTTTGCTGTCCCACTCGGTAAATCCGGTCACAAGCTTGATCTTCCAGCGACGGATTCCTGTTAAACAGAGAGGTGCAGCTCAGAGATATACCCCAGACCGGGTGACAAGCTGAGGACCACAGGCCAATTCCAGCCTATAGCCTTCATTTGTTTACTTCTGCTAAAAATGGCTGTTCTATTTTCAAGGGGGTTAAGAAAGCCCAACAAAGCGCAAAGGATATGCAACAGAGAAACCATTTAACCTGAAAAATATGGACTCTTTCCAGAAGTCTGTCACCCCATTCTAGGCTCTATGGCCTAAGGAAAGCTGCTGTCAGATACCCCCTGACTCTACTGAGACCGGGCCAGGCAGCTGTGACAATGCAGCCCCACCATTAACGCCTATGGAGGGGACGGGAGGAGAGATCAACAGTCCTAGCCAGCCTGGATCACTTCCCAGTGTCAGAATGCAGCCCTCCGGGTTTCACTCCTGCTTGTCAATGTAATCACTGGCTAACATTCTCCAATATTTACCTGCTTGGCCTTAGTCCTCCATG